CTGGGAAGACACTTGGAGTCATTATCCTAGATGTAGTAAGGGGCTGGGTAAACAGGAAAGTCATTGTTAATAAGCGCATTTAGAGCCAGTGTAAATTTTCTGGGTTTAAGATAGTTTTAACCCAGCAATAGGGTGCTATGACATTATCAGTCACTGGCTTGACTATGAGTGTGAACGATACGGAACCAGGCCTGTGCCTGTGCTCTTCCAGCTCAGCTATGCTGCTCTTCAGTGAGCTCACCAAGTAGACCCCAGTGAAGATTTGTTATATTTACCCAGGACACCTCTCAGATTACAGGAAATCGTTCAAAACCCAAGAAAGAGGCTCTTTCCTAAGATTAGCTCATGTCCTGACTACAAAATAGTTTTTATTGCTGTTTTTATCTCCCTTTATGTACATTTGCTGCTGGTATAATAGAATAGTGGTAGTGAGCTTTGTGTCCCCTGAAGAAACCTTTGAGAATAGGTAGTGGGGAGCAGAGTGGAACATATTTAAGTATAACCCTTTAGAGTTAGTATTTAGGATTATGTAATGTTCAAGTCACTTTTTAAAAATGTAGCATTTCAGGCAGGTGAGGTGGCTCATTGGATAAAGGTGCTTGCCACCAATCTGATAGCCTGAGTTTTAACTACAACACACACACACATATGTACATATGCACACTTATAACCAAGATAAAATATCTGTATATTTTTTATGGGACTTTATACTGTATTGGATTTTGTTTTGTTTTGTTTGAGACAGGATCTGACTCTGAAACCAGGCTAGCCTGGAACTCAGTATATAGTTTATGATTACTTCAAGCACATGGCAGTCCTTCTGCTCAGCTTTTCACATACTGAGATCAGAGATGTGAGCTGGTAGAACCAGCTTGGATTTCTCTATATTTATGCCATTTTAGTGACTCCACATAGTTTTGTGTGTGTTAATATCAATAGGTCTAGGGATGTAGGTTCAATCCCTAGTACTGAAAGAAAAAAGGAAAAAAAGTTTGCTTCTTGAGATTTCCTTTTAAAATTCAGTACTGTGTTGTGTTTTTGAGATGTTCCATGCATATCCATCATGAAACTCTTCTTATTACTTTGTATGCACAGGGAGCAGTTAATTTGAACACATTTTAGCTGTTAGAGTCACAGTGAACACTTTTGTACCTATTTGATTCTAACCATTAGCATGGGTGGTGCTGTGGGCTTTGCATGTGCAGGTCTCCTGTTTTCCCCAGTGCAGATAGATGGTCCTATCATAGCTGGGTCCTTTATGCCGTTTCTCTCATGCTTAGGGCCGCTGTAAGGAAGTGCTCCAGGTGAGTGCTCTGTTCCAGGTGAGTGCTCTGTTCCAGGTGCTTACAGTCTATCATCAAGGTGGCAACATGGTGTTGTCTTTGGAGGCTTCTGTCCTTGGCTGGCAGACCTCCTTCTCCTTGTGATTCCACATGGTCTTCCATTTGTGTCTGTGTTCTAATTTCTTATAAGAATACCAGTCTTAGTCTATTAGGGCTCACTCTAAAATCTCCATTTTAAGATGCTGATTTGACTTCAATACACAATTGAATTAAAACAAGTAAAGTGAACCCCCTTGCTTTGCTCCTTTACAAGGAAAATGCTCTTGGAGCCTTGCCACTTGTGGTGACAGTTACAGTGAGCCTATGGACATTGTTCATTAGGTCAGAGAAGGTTCTTTGTGCCCTCTTTGCTCTTAAGAATGGAGAGCATAAGCCCTGCCTCAAGTTAGAGATCAGAAAACTTAGATGCCTTCCTCACAGAGGTTCAGAAAGATAGCATGAACTGTCTTCAAGGCTGATCTGGAAGACAGAAGCTTCAGACAGAGCACCTGTCAGCATAAAAGCGCATGGTGTTTGGCAGGCCAGTCACAGGCACTAGAACCCTTATTAGTCCCATGGATGGTGTCCCTCTGTTGCTCTGCTGCCCCTCAGTGTTCCTGTCAGCAACCCAGTGTCTTTCAGCTGCCTTCTTTCTGCCCAGTCACTAGTGGTTTTCTTTGGTCTAGTCATTGTCTCCTCCTTGGTGTACTCTGGGCCTCCTCCTCGGCTTTGCGATGGATGCTCTGATTTCCCGTTGTTAGGTCCTAGCATATGCATTTTCCTAACTCGACTGCCATGCAGTTTCTATATAAACCGCCCACTGAAGGTACGCCCTAGCAGATGTTAGCATGCTCACAGGGTTGTGCCACCATCTCTTCAGTCAGCTTTAGGACATGACCATTATCTTCTAGTGTAAATTTCCCATACCTTTTAAAAAAAATACTTAGTTTTGAAAATTATATTTCCGTGCATGTGCATGTGAGCACGCTTGCCATGGCACAGTGAAGGTCAGGGGACAGCCTGCAGGTGTCAGTTCTCTCTTTCCCCATGTTGGTCCGTGCCTTTATTTCTTGAGCCACCCAGTCGGAGTATCCCATTCCATTTTAAAAATTTTGTTGGGAAAGGGATTGTTTGTTTGAGACAAAATCTTGTCCTTGTCCCAGAGTGACCTGAAACTTGTTGTGTAACCCCTGCTGACTTTGAACTTGTTGTAGCCCTGCTACCTCAGCACCCACATCCTAAGAGTTTGTGCGTCCCTGTGTGTTCATCACTCATGCCCATTCTCCTCATACTCTTGTAGTCCAGTGCAGTTTACCTTCTGTCTGTATACATTTATATTTTTTCTTCTAGAATTTACTTTTAAATTTTTCCTGGGTTCTCCTTTAAATGTATCCTATAAACTTCTTTTTGTTGTTTTGAGACTGGTCCTGTGTAACCCAAGCTAGCCTCAAACTTAACATGTAAGTAAGTATAATTTGAATTCTTGATTCTTCTCTCTTCACCCTTCTCAAGTACCTGCGACTACAGGCTTAGCTTCCCACAGACTGTTTAATCATAAAATTTTTAGGAGGGGGTGAGGGTAGGGGCAAGATCACACAGTGTAGCCCAGGCTGGACTGGAAGCTATTTATGTAAACTAGGCTGGTCTCAAACTCAAAATATTCTTCCTGCCTCATCTTCTCCAGTGCTGGAATTATAGGTATGATGCCTGACTTGTGGAATAATTCTATCCTGTTTGTATTGTTTCTTTCTAAGAATTACTTTGATATTAACATAAGAAGTCTTATGCTAATTTAGTATTCAGGATTCATAGTTATAGAATATATAGTGAAATTATTCTTAGATCTTTTGATGAAGTTGGCAATTACATTTTCTTGGATGATCCAATACAAATGCATACTATTTGCTGTTTTAGGAATTATGGAATCCAGATTGCATGAATTAAACTAATTCTCAGATGAACTACATGGGGCTTCCATATATATCTGTAAGTTTCTTGGATGAAAACCACACTAAATCATTGATCCAGATATAGTGGTATATACACTAATCTCAGACCAGTTCAAGGAAGATGAGCCTTGGCTACATAGTGAAGTTGAAGCCAGCCTGTGCTAAATGAACCTGTCTCAGATGACAACAATAAACATAAAGCAAAGGAAAAGTGGGCAAAAATGTTCAATCAAGGATCATGTTTTATATGTAGTTGTCATGTATTCTTAGTTCTATTTATTCTAAAACACTCTCTCCTCTCTTCATGGGATTGACATTTCTGAAGAACAAAGACCAGAAATGTTCTATATTTTGTGTTTGTCAAATTGTTTCTTTTAGATTTAGATTCAGGTTGAATTTTCTTGGCAGAAAAAGAACTGTGCAGATGATGGGTGTTCTTCTGTATCAGATTATTTTGTTCCATGAGTTAATTAAAGTAGTGTCTGGTAGGTAGTAGTAGAGATGATCTGTGGTTGCTAAGTCTGAAATGGTTTTAGGATCATTAATAATCACCTCTACTCCTGAACTACATTCCCAGCTCTTTTCTCTTCAAGAGTATTTCTTTTATTATTGCTATCATTATTTTATTTTATTTTATTTTATTTTATTTTTTGAGACAGAGTCTCACTATGCAGTCCAGGCTGGCCTGGAACTCTCTTAAGTAGACCAGACTGTCTGTCCTACAGAGTTCTACCTGCTTCTGCCTCCTCAGTGCCAACCCTGGCTTTCAGTGGCATTTTCGTCTCTAGGATTTTGAGTCTGTCTTTTCTGCCGTCAACCTTAAGCGTAGTTACTTGCTCTGTCAGATTGTACCGTTTTCTGTTCCTTGCCCTTGTTGGATTGCTTTGTAACTTTTGACTGTGAGTTCATCTTAGGCAGAAACTAGATCCTGGCTAGTGGCTGCAGATTGTAGGAAGGGAAGCCTTTTTGCATCTGTGTATAGCACAGGCAGCAATGTCCTTTTCTTTTTCTGCCCATTTCAGTTGTCTCTTGGTTTCCATCAGTATAAGGTATTTGAATCCTTAGGGTTTTCTGGTTATCTAGGTGTGTGTTTGTATTACTGTAACTGGAAGTTCCCAGGGTTTTTATTTTCACAATTGAGATTGGATACTTCAAATGGTTTTTAAAAACTTTAATTTATTCCGTTCTATGATCTTTCAGAAGTAACTATAGTTGATATCTTTCTCATCATTTAGAAAGTTGTAGGATCTTGACTCTCAAATTATTATTAACCCTGATTACAGAGATCTGACTGGAAATTGTAGAAGGGACGGGATAGTGGCACGTAGTAAGGAGAGTGAAATTGTAAGTCGTAGCTTAGAGTGTCTCTTCCCGCTTAATCTTTAGTTCTCAAGGGCATCAGCATATCAGCATTTTAAATGTGAGATGCATGGCTTTCTTTTCAGTGTGATTAAACCTGAGAAAATTATTCCGTTTTAAAATGAAAGGCCTCATGTTTCACTCCTTTGAGGCTCTAGTGTCTAGAGTCTGTGATCTTTTAATACATGTATTATAGAAGCCAGTGTCTTATTCACAGCAACAGTGGAAAGAGCTGTGTGTTGAGCATGCTCCCTTGTCTAAGTTTACTAGCAAGTCATACCCAAGATTGACATGTTATTCTGCTTTCTGTTACTTTAACAAAATAACTTGAATAATACACTTAAAAAGAAGAAAAGTTTGCTTTTGGCTTAAGTTTTATTTTAGTTCATGGTTATTTTGCCCCCATTGCCTTTGGGCCTGTGGTAACACAGTGACTTATGGAAGAAGTGTGTAGTATAGAAAGCTGCTCCTTTCATGGAAGCTGGAACACAAAAACACACAAAAAAGAAGGGTAAGAGGAAACCAATGAACCGGTATTCCTTCCTTTAAAAAAATATTATTATTGTATATGTGTGTGGTGTGGGGAGAAGAGCACTTGCTCCACTGTGCATTTGGGGGTCAGAGGACAACTTTCAGAGCTGATCTCTCCTTCCACCTGTATTTCGGTCCTGGGATTAAACCTATGTCTTCAGACCTGCACAGCAGGTACTGTTACCCACTGGGGCATTTCTCTGGCCCCCAAAATCCCTTTCAAGGGTATGCCCTCATATAATTGGAAAATTTGTAACCAGACCCTGCCTCTTAAAGGTTCTACAACTTTCTTATTAGTCCCAAGTTTACTCGAAAGTTTACTTGGCTGGGATCATTTTTTTTTTTTAACAGCACATGGACTTTTTAAAGGATGTTTATTCAAGCCATGGCAACTGGATATAATAGATGTGAAATACTCAGTTCAAAAAACAAAAAAACCAATCTCTGTGAGTTTGAGGCCAACCTGGTCTACAAGAGCTAGTTACAGGACAGGCTCCAAAGCCACAGAGAAACCCTTGTTTCCAAAAACAAAAACAAAAACAAACAAACAAAAAAACAGCCACATGGTAGTGGTACACACTTTAATCCCAGCATTTTTGAGGCAGAGGCAGGTAAATCTCTGTGAGGTTGAGGCTAACCTGGTCTACAGAGCAAGTTCTAGGGCTATTACACAGAGAAACCCTGTCTCAAAAAAACAAACAAAAGCAAAAAACAACAACAAACTAGGGTAGCGATGATTACCTATATCATCCTGGCACTTGGGAGGCTGAGCTAAAGGATTGTCTTAATTTGAAGCCAGCACGGGCTACATAGTGAATTCCAGGCCAGCCTGACTAGGAAACAAGACCCTGTCTCAAAACAAATGAAAATCTATCTTTGCTTTACAGTTCAAATTGCAGCCGCCTCAATATACTAGAAAAGGCCTGTATTTTTCTTTCGGCTCCTTCAGCTGCCTTTACACCATCATGAGTTTGACTTGTCGAGTGCTGATGTTTTGAGGACACAAAGCTTTTGTGTTGCCAGTCTTACTGTCTAAAAGAAGGAAGAGATAATATTTATTCACAAATGGCTCAAAAGTAGCAGTGGACATTTCTGGCAATTAACTCCTTTGGTTTTAGAAATTGAATAGATAAATTTTTATGGTTGAGATCCGTTGATGGGCTTTGGACTTCTCTGCAGTAACTGATTAGGTAGAGGGGTGTGTGTGTGTGTGTGTGTGTGTGTGTGTGCGCACGCACAGGCTGTGTAAATCAGGCTAACCTCATTCACAGCCACCTGCCTCTACTTTTCAAATGCTGGCATTAAAGGTGTGTGCCACCATGCCTATCTACATTGGTACTTCTTAACCACAGGTGTTTTACAATTATTTAAGGAACATTTGTTCAATTCTTACTTTGAAATTATTATAGATGTATCCAAAGTTGTAAAAACAGTAGGTGAGTTCTTGACTGTTTTCCCATAAGGATTTATTTCACAAAATTATGGTTTCTCAAAATGAGAAAATGGACCTTGGAGCCACTGGTACAATTTACAGGTTCAGGTTTGTGGTTTTTTGAGGGTTTTTTGTTTGTTTGCTTGCTTTTTGATACAGGGTTTCTCTGTAGCTTTGGAGCCTGCCCTGGAACTAGCTCTTGTAGACCAGACTGGTCTCGAACTCACAGAGATTCACCTGCCTCTGCCTCCCAAGTTCTGGGATTAAAGGCATGTGCCACCGCCGCCCGGCCCAATTTACAGCTTTTATTCCAAGTTCCCAGTGTAATGGTCTATCTTGTCCCTTTAAGAAACAAACCCTGCCCACTCCCTCTGGAGGCAGGCAGATCTTCCTTCCTGTCTGCAGCCTGAGGCCTTTCTCTGGAGGAGGTAGCTGTTGCTATAGCTCCTCTTCCCCCTCTTTACCTCCCCCCATCTCTCAGTCTGCCTCTCTCTGCTCTTTCCTCTTCTCCCTTTCTCCCCTTCCCCTTCCATAACCCACTAAACAAATACCCGTCTTGGTCTCTCATCTGCTGACCCTCATGACCCACGGGCCACTCACCACTCATAGACTTCCTGCCTGGGACCCGGCTGCCTTCATGTCAACAACAAAAACCCACTAATACAGGCATTGTGAGTGCATACCTGTAATCACATAGGAAGTAGAGGCTAGAGGATCATGATTTCTAGGTCAGCCTGGGCTACATGGTACATGGTAAGATCTTTTTTTTTCTTTCCTTTTTTTTAATCTTTGTTTTTGTGAGATGGGGTTTCTCTGTGTAGCTCTGGCTTCCTGGAACACCCTCTGTAGACTAGGATGACCTCAAACTTACAGATATGCCTGCCTCTGCCTTCCAAGTGCTGGTATTAAATGCTTGTGCCACTACTGCTCAGTAGTATCTCAAAACAAAACACTCAGTGCTACAGTGCTTTACCAACAGACGGAAGCCCTTCCTTCAACTCTAGCACCTAAAAAACAAAAAAGAAACAAAAAACACCTGTCTTGCAAGACTCAGCCATATTACTATACAGCTACCCACCCGCCCCATGTCTTTATTATGCTTGTTATTACACATTTATTTGTCCTATTCTTCTGTCCAACCATCAACCTATTTTGATTCATTTCAAAATAAACTGTATACTTCTCTGTGCATGTTTTGATGCGGTGTTCAATGTTGACTTTGGTACTTTTTTCTGTGTAACGTTTACGTATAATACACACACTAAGTATATGTTCACTGAGTTTTGCTATCAGCCCAACCTGAATCCCTCTCCAGACAGAGAATTTCACATTCCCCACCCATCTTTTCTTGTTTGTTTGTTTGTTTTTTTGAGACAGGGTTTCTCTGTAGCTTTTGGAGCCTGTCCTGGAACTAGCTCTTGTAGACCAGGCTGGCCTCAAACTCACAGAGATCCGCCTGCCTCTGCTCCCAAGTGCTGGGATTAAAGGCGTGCGCCACCACCGCCCAGCCTCCCCACCCATCTTATAGACCACAGGGAACCCTGGCATGCATTGTCTGTCCCGGGTGTCTGATTTTGATGTCTAGCCTGTCAGGAATGCTTGCTGCTTGTTTCTCAGACGCGAGGGCTGACCTTGTTCCTGCAGAGCAGCTTCCATCCTGTAGCAGACAGGCCTGCAGAAGAGTAAAAGTGAGAAGCAGCCACTCAGCGCCCTCCTCCCCGCCTGTGTTTTCCCACACTTGCTTCTTCACAAACTGCTCATCTGCGCCTCCCTTCCGTCCTCCATCTTACTCTTAATGATTTTGCCAAATGCAGACTTTATCTGTACACGCTGTCCTCAATGTTTCTGCTCCTGTGGAGTACAGACTTACACTGAAAGCAGAGCTGCTGGCCCCTGTGAAAAGGAGTCTCTGAGCCTGCAGACAATAGAAGCTTTCTCATTGGCTGTCACACGGATGACGTGTGTATACATCCTCTGGTTTAGCCCTGTGAGGTGCCTAGATTAGACCTGAGGGAGGAACCTCCTGAGGAAACGGACTCTGGAAGTCCTGCCTAAGGTGGGCTCATTGCCTTCCTGAGGCTCTATTTATAAATCTCAGGGAATCTAAGGGATTTTATATCACCTCCCACCCTACCTTATAAAATTAGTTCAGGTGGGTGGCTAGAACCATGAAGTTAAACACCAATTATCTAAATATACATACGAGGTGGGAACAGAGGGTCAGAAAAGAACCCGTGTTCTCTAACTTGAGGATTCCAACTGCAGAGATAAAAATGGCAGATGCCTCCTAATGTCTGCACTGCTAGGGGCTACTTGAGCCCAACAGCTCTCCTCTCTGTGATCCACAAATCCTGCTGTAAGTGTGCTTCATGCTGGAAAACAGCGCGAGGATTATTAGTGGTTTTTGTTGTTTGGTTTTGAGACAACGTTCTTTTTTGGTTTTTTGAGACAAGGTTTTTCTTTGTAACAGTACTGTCTGTTCTAGAACTCAGTTTGTAGACCAGGCTGGCCTCAAACTCACTTTAGATCCACCTGCCTCTGCCTCCCGAGTGCTGGGAGTTAAGCTGTGCGCCACCGTCCCGGCTTGAGACAAAGTCCTTATTATGTAGTGCAGCTGACCTCTAACTAGGATCCTCCTGCTTCACATCCCAGTGCTGGGATTGCAGGTGTGTGCCATTGAACCTGGCTACAATTCATATATTAAATAAGCAAAATTTACTCTCTCAACTAGAGTTTTCCTCATAAGCTTCCATCATATCTCAGCTTGTACTTTGGCATATCCTATCACATTTTGAAAGAAAATGTGGCTTTAGAGAGAAGCATTAGCATATTTCTGGGTTGTTTCTGGGCTCCTATTTGGGCGGTCCCTTTTGTTGTATCTGTAGGCTGGGTTCTGCTCATCCTGTCATAGCAATTCAAGGTCTTCTAGTGTATGTTTCTTTTGTTGGTCAGTCTTCCTGCACCCGGTCAGAACTTTGTTTTTATTGAATTCATTATCTACTCCTTCTGTTAATGTGGTGTTATATTTTAAATTATTTGTTTACTCCTTTTTGGCAGTTGGCTTTATGCTTTCACTTCCTCCAGCATGGCCCCTTAGTTTCCCATGATTTTCTCTTGGTAAAGGCAGAGGTCCTTGTGGAAATAATTAAGCTAGTGGTTTTATCTATGCATTGTCTTCAAGAGTGTAAGGAACCGTCAACATTTGATTCATAAATGTTGTTTCTGACTTTCGCAGTTTGGGTTTGAAGAAGAAAACTAAAATCCAATAACTGTTGTCAGGGGGGCTGGACTCTTCTCAGAGCTCTGATTCTGGAGATTAGGGTGAGAAGAGGGATGGCCTTGTGGGAGAAACTGACGTGGACTGGCTTTGCTGGAAGTCTGTCTGTTCTGTCTTCCTGATCTCTGTCTCTAGGAGCAAGCTAGGCCCCAGCTCTGAGATTCTGGGTATGTTCCCCATCAGGTCCATGGGACAAAAGGTAGAAATACTCATGTCATAGAGGAAATTGTGTAAGATTATTGGTCCTCTTGCTGGGTTTTTGGCATTTATTCTGATCTCTGAGTAAGATCTCTAGTTAAAAGTTGAAGAAGATTTTAATCACTTAGCAGTTGATAACAGTAGTTTCTTCTTGTCTTCAAGGGATAGTTTCTAAGATCCTCAGTGGGACTCTGGAATCACAAACTCCAAATTGTTTCTCTATATACCCTACAGTTAATTGGAGTCAGTCTAGCCTTCTGTGTCTTTTGCTCTGGTATTTCCTTTGCATTGTTGCATTTGAGATTTGAAACTATTAAGTAAAGCAGTCATTTTCTTAACACTGTTGATATGATAACTGACCCTTCACAATTGAGGAGTATATACAGCATGGCTATACTGGCAGGTGGTTGATAGCTCAAGCAGGATGAAGCATGGTGGAGCAAAACTTCCTCATACTACTCAGAAAAGTATGCTGATTAACATTTCTGATTTAGAGCCTGGAGAGGTGGCTTAGAGGTTAAAAGCACTTGCTGCTCTTGCAGAAGACTGGAGTTCAGTGCCCAGTACCCACATCAAGCCGTTCACAATCGCCAGCTTCAAGATTTCCAACACTCTCTTCTGCCTCTGCAGGCACATCATTTAGACTGACTCTCTTTCTTCCCATCTCAGTGCTTTTTAAAAACTCATCTGGTTTAAATAGACTTACATAAAATAAATCTTAAGCTTACAATGCTCGCTTAGTGGAATTTAAAGTCCATAGTGTTGTAATCTGATGGCCTGGTCTGGCACCTGGGTACCCTGTTTCTTCAAGAGACAAGCTCCGCCCACTCCCAACCCAACACTTCCACTGATCCACCAAGGCTAGCGCAACCAAGGCAAGGCTAGCAAATCTCCCACCTCCTCTCCAGTCCTGTCTCAGCTTCTGCCTCCCTGCCTTCCCCTCCCTCCCTCCCTCCCTCCCTTCTTCCCTTCCTTTCCTTCCCTTCCTCTCTATAACCCACTTAATGAACTCTATATCCTTGCTCTCTCTGCATGGTGTATCTGTCTATTTCCCAGTGGAGGCCTCAGGTGACCTGCCACCTCTTTATAAATGATAACACTTAGTGCATGTCTCCTGTCTAGTTAGGATTTCTATTGCTGTGATAGAAACACCGTGACCAAAAGTTGTTTGGGGAGAAAAGGAGCTGTAAATTCCACATTCCAGTTCATCACTAAGGAAAGTTAGGGCAGGAACATGGAGGCATGAGCTGAAACAGAGACCATGGAGGGCCGGGAGGTGGTGGCACATGCCTTTAATCTCAGCACTCGGAGAGGTAGAGGCAGGCAGATCTCTGTGAGTTCAAGGCCAGCCTGGTCTACAAAGTGAGTTGCAGGACAGCCAGGGTTGTTATACAGAGAAACTCCATCTGAAAGAAAAAGGAAGGAAGGAGGGAAGGAAGGAAGGAAACCCAGAGAGACCATGGAGGAGTCCTGCTTACTGCTTGTGCCTCATGACTTGCACAACCCACTTTCTTGGAGGCAGACAGGACTCTGAGGTCTCCTTCCACCTGCTTTCTTAAAGCACCCAGGACCACCAGCCCCAGGAGTAGTATCACCTACAATGGACCCTCCTATATCAATCATTAATTGAGACAATACTCTGTGGACTTGCCTGGCAAATCTTATGGAGGCATTTTCTCAATCATAATTCCCTCTTCTCAGATAACTCTAGCTTGTATCAAGTTGTCATAAAACTAGCCAACACATATCCATTCTTATTTTCCTACCTGTTCCTTCATTACTATCACATACATGACTTAGGTGTTATCTTCTTGAAGTAGAGTTAGGGTCCTGTCTTGAGGACCTGGGTAGCCCTTCTGAAGAACTTGATGATCCAGTACTTTAAATGCTACTAATCTAGGCAGAAGTTCTCTCCTCAGACCATGAGGTCTTTCTTCTCTGATAGACTCTGGACTGGAAGCAGACACTGATTTTACCCTTGGGAGAGACTTTTCTTTGTTCTATAGGAACCCAGAAAACATATTTTCAAGTACAGTGCTTCCCCACCCCTCCACCCACCAACACTTCAAACTGAAAAGCTCAGAAAGAAACAAATTCAAGGAGGAACTTTGTCTAGGGTCGCCTGTCTGAAGATGTTCGCTGAGTAGACATGAGATTATCAAAGGCTCCCTCCTTGGAGTCTGAGTAAACAAAGATTAACTCACAGGAGAGGGAGCCCAGAGTCTGGCACCTCACCCTAAGAGGCTTTAGCACTGGCACCGGCTGTTCTGCTGAGTCTTTCCCTTGTTCACAGTGCATTTATTCTACCCGCCTTCCTGTGGCCTCTCTGTCCACTGCAGACATCCTAGGCTCTGTCCCTCACTGTTATCCCTTAGACACTCCAAACCCCTGCTTTTCTCTGTAGCTCAGAATGCTACATAAGCTCAACCATGTGGCTCTTTTTAGTTTCATGCTTTGTTTGATTCTGTGTACTTTTGTGTTAGTAAACTGTTCTTTTTCCCTGTTTGCCCACTTCCAGTTCATTCCTCAGAATTGAGCACCGCCCCTCTCTACAGAAAAGAGAAGCTCATAAAACAGAGGCATTGTGGGCACACAAGCTGCCCACCTAGATGAAGACATTCCCTCCAGGCCTTCCCAGTGGAGTGCAAAGACTCAGTTCTGCTGTAAGAGGGCTGTCTCTTGACCTCAGGACCTAAGTAGCAGCTCTCCAAGTGAGCTTACTCACGAAATGACTGATTTAATAGACTGCAAACACATGCATGCAGGCTTGTGAACTAATTATTGGTTTTCTGACTTAAAAATAGCTTCTGTCATTGAAGGAGTAAGGGTCTTCCCTCAGACTGTTAGCTTCAAAGAAAGCTGGCATGCTTTTGCTCTCCAGCTCCTGTGTGACAGTGCAGAGGCAGCCTCGGGGTGTTTAGAATTTACAATCAGTCTCTCTGCTGAGCAAGCAGGTTATATTTTTATGTATTAAGGTAAATTCTGGAGCTTGTCCTCATTTTAGCTGTGTATAGGTGAGGGTTAATTCTTCAGGTCTTTCTTCCCAGGTCTCCTTAGACCTCCTTTTTATGTATGTTTTAAACTGAATACCCATAAAGATAAATTGAGAACCTCCTTTAGAAGCAAGGTCTTAAGGAAGTTGATCTTATGAATGAATTCGCCCTATTTCCTAGAGCCCAACCTGCAAGCCAAATGGCTTTATGTCTGTCACACTTTCATCAGACATCTCTGTCCAAAGGTTCTGGAAGGGCTCAGGTTGAATCAAGATGCCATCATTTTTATGACAATACTCATAAAGCTTGGTTGACTCCAGGAGAGTTGTTTCACATGCTGTGGTCGCTTTCCTTCTCTCCTTTAAGTAAACTGGTCTCATTGATCACAATATGACTTTACCTTCTTTGGCACTTAGTTGAGAGGGTTCGGCCATGTTGGTTTTC